TCCTATTTGCCGATTTTTTCCATTCCTCTGTGTAAATAGCCTAATATGGGTTCACAATCAATAACATCTTCACCATCGAGAGTAACGATCAGTCGAAGAACACCATGCATTGATGGGTGCTGAGCCGAACCGTGCTTATCTCTGGTTCTGGTTTTTTCCGGTCGAACCACCGGTTCGGTCCGGTTTTTTCTACTATGCTCAGAACTCATGGTGATGTCTTTCTAGACATCTTGTGTAAAAACCAGAGCTCTGTATGTGGTAGTAGTACACCAGTAAGTGTTTGCCTTAGTGTTTGTGTAGCAAGATAGGCTCCTGCACTTTCTTTTCGTTGAAGTAATGCAGTACTGCTGTGGTGCTTGTGGTTTGTACTACTTTTTATCATCTTTAAATTGGTGCATGTTAAGAATGATGATAAGACTAAAATAAGAAGAGAAAAGCATAATGAGGATAATATAACTAAATAGTTTTATTTTAATATTACCTACATTGATTATTTTATAGTAAATCTGATTCTTTCTTACCATTTTGAGATTCATCCAATGATCATTTATGTATTCTGGCTAATGAGTTGAATATGATAGATGGAGCAAAACAACAACAACAACAATGGTACTAGTCAGGATGGAAATAATACTAGTCATGGTGCCACTGGATTAATAATACCTAGTGCAAGTAATCAAGACCCTTGGGCTAACTTACTCGCAAATATACTGGGCAAGCAACAGGAAACCCAGCAACGACAGATGGAAATTTTAGAACGTATTACTAAAAGTGATGCTAACCGGAATGGACTTGGGGAATTTCAGAAATTAAAGCCACCAACATTTTCAGGAACTGCCAATCCACTCGAAGCGGAAGAATGGATTGTAGCCATGGAAAAGTCATTTGAAGCTATGGGTTGTACAGATAAAGAAAAGATTATATATGCTACCTATATGCTTCAGTCTAGTGCTTTTGAATGGTGGGATGCTCACAAAAAGTCATATTCCGAACGTATCTTTATTACATGGGAATTATTCAAGGAAGCTTTTTACAAGAAATATTTTCCAGAAAGTGTTAAGAGAATGAAGGAGAAGGAATTTCTAGAGCTTAAGCAAGGTAATAAATCCGTAGCAGAATATGAAATAGAATTTTCGAGACTGGCAAGATTTGCTCCTGAATTTGTACAGACGGATGGCTCTAAAGCTCGACGATTTGAAAGTGGATTACGTCAACCGCTCAAAAGGCGCGTCGAAGCCTTTGAATTAACCATATTCAGGGAGGTAGTAAGTAAAGCACAACTTCTTGAGAAGGGGTATCATGAACAAAGAATAGAACACGGACAACCTCAAAAGAAGTTTAAGACTAATAATCCACAAAATCAGGGAAGATTCCGTGGAAACTACTCTGGACAAATGCAGAGAAAATCTTCAGAAAATCAAGGCAGAAAATGTCCCATATGCCAAGGTAGCCATGTTCCATCAATTTGTCCTAATTGCTGGGGAAGGTGCTTTGAGTGTGGAGAAGCAGGACATACTAGGTACCAATGTCCACTGTTACAGAAGGGTAAAAATCGAGTTAGTTCAACTACTCAGCCAAATACTAAAGTATTGACTCCAGTACCCTCGCTTTATTTACCTGGACCGTCTTCAGCAAATAATCATGGGCCAAATCAAGGAAAGCCACTTGCAAATACTAATACCACACGAGGAATGCGGTCGAATAATTCACAAGGTGGGAATCATGCTCGGGTATACAACTTAACTAAGAGCACAGCTGAAGAATCCAACACCGTGGTTACAGGTAATGTCTTAATCTGCTCTTATCCTGGTAAAGTTTTATTTGATTCTGGTGCCACACATTCGTTTATCTCCACCAACTTTGTGAGAAAATACACCATCCCTACTAGTCAGCTAAAAGAAAGAATTTGCATAGAAACTCCTTTGGATAGCCAAACAACTAATCTAATTTGCAAATTGTGTCCAATTACTATTGATGGATGGGAATTAACTGCTGACCTCATACCCTTGGACATGCATGATTTTGATATTATACTTGGTATGGATTGGTTATGTAAGAACAAAGCACATATTGATTGCCATGGAAAACAGATTACACTTAAACCATGGGATCAAAACCAAATTATTTACTATGGAGATCAAAACCATTTACCTAGACCTTTAGTGGCAGAAATCATGAGAAAGGAAGCTAGTTGGGAAGGAATACCAGTTGTGAATGAATTTCTAGATGTTTTTCCAGCTGAATTACCAGGGTTACCACCAGATTGAGAGATTGAATTTGGTATTGAAATAGTACCAGGAACTTCTCCGATTTATAAGGCACCCTACAGAATGGCCCCTGTTGAGCTAAAGGAACTAAAGTTACAACTAAAAGAATTAGAAGATAAAGGATTCATTCATCCCAGTGTCTCCCCGTGGGGTGCTCCTGTTCTATTTGTCAAGAAAAAGGATGGAAGTTTGAGATTATGCACGGATTACCGAGAACTGAATAAGGTGACTATCAAAAACAAATATCCTTTACCAAGGATAGATGATTTATTTGATCAACTACAAGGAGCTCGTGTTTTCTCAAAAATTGATCTTCAATCAGGCTACCATCAACTAAAGATTAAACCTAGTGATATACCCAAGACTGCTTTTCGTGCACGCTATGGACACTATGAATATCTAGTAATGCCATTTGGTTTGACTAATGCACCGGCAGCTTTTATGGACTTAATGAATCGTATATTCAAGCCTTATCTTGATCAATTTGTAGTGGTATTCATAGATGATATTTTGATATATTCCAAGACTAAGGAAGATCATGCAAATCATTTGAGAATAGTACTACAGACATTGCGAGATCATAAACTATTTGCCAAATTAAAGAAATGTGATTTTTGGATGGATAAAGTATCATTCCTTGGTCATGTTATTTCGGGTGAAGGTATATCAGTGGATCCTGAAAAGGTCAAAAACCATCACGGAGTGGAAAAGGCCATCATCGGTAACCGAGATACGAAGTTTTCTTGGGTTGGCAGGATATTACCGTCGATTTATTAGTAACTTCGCTAAAATTGCAGCTCCTCTAACCCGGTTGACACAGAAGGGAGTAAGATATGAGTGGACTCAGACTTGCGAAGAAAGTTTCCAAGAATTGAAGAATCGGTTAACCACAGCACCTATTCTTGCCTTACCTATTATGGGAGAAGAATTTACCATTTACTGCGATGCTTCAAAAATTGGATTGGGTTGTGTTCTTATGCAAAAAGGTAAGCTAATTGCCTATGCTTCGCGTCAATTAAAATCATATGAGAAAAATTATCCAACCCATGATATGGAATTAGCTGCTGTCATATTTGCCTTGAAAATCTAGAGACATTACCTATATGGGGAGCATTGTGAAATATATACCGACCACAAAAGCCTAAAGTACATATTTACTCAGAAGGAATTAAATATGAGGCAAAGGAGATGGTTAGAATTATTAAAAGATTATGATTTGAATATTAATTATCACCCTGGGAAAGCCAACATTGTGGCAGATGCTTTAAGTCGAAAGGCTCTCTGTAATATGGCTATTCAGATCACACAGGATCAACATATACTTAGAGACTTGGAAAGATTGGATGTGGAATTAAAGATCCATGAACCCGGAGTATTATTAGCAGTGCTCCAAATAAAGCCTACTTTAGAAGAAAATATTCTAGAGAAACAAAGAGACGACAGTGAATTACAAAAGGCAAAGAAAAATATTGAAGAAGGGAAGGTGTCTGAATTTCAAATTGATCATAATGGCGCTATACGTTTCAAGGACAGATTGTGTGTGCCTAACGATCCTGAATTAAAACAAAAAATATTGGAAGAAGCACATTCCTCCCCCTATACCATACATCCAGGAAGTACTAAAATGTATCAGGACATAAAAAGGTATTTTTGGTGGAATAACATGAAAAGGGAAATTGCCAAATTCATTGCATAATGTGATATTTGCCAGCGCGTCAAAGCTGAACATCAAAGGCCAGCAGGACTGTTACAACCCTTAAGTATTCCACTATGGAAATGGGAAGAAATTAGTATGGACTTTGTTCAAGGATTACCTACCACACCTGCCGGAAATGACAGTATTTGGGTAATAGTAGATCGGCTAACAAAATCTACCCATTTCTTACCGGTAAAAAGAAATTTTTCTTTGAAAAAGTTAGCTAAACTATATGTCAAAGAAATAGTATCTTTACATGGGGTTCCAGTAAGGATTGTGTCAGACAGAGATACCCGGTTTCTGTCCAAATTTTGGAAAAGCTTACATAGGGCCCCGGGAACAAAACTAGATTTCAGCACAGCGTATCACCCTCAAACCGATGGACAAACTGAAAGGGTGAATCAAATAATTGAAGATATGTTACGATCTTGCATCCTAGAATTTAAAGGATCATGGGAAGAATTTATGCCATTAGCAGAATTTGCATATAACAATAGTTATCAATCTAGTATACGAATGGCCCCGTATGAAGCCTTATATGGAAGGAAATGCAGAACACCTGTTTGCTGGAACGAAGTAGGAGAAAGAAAATTGCTAGGACCAGATATAATACAACAGACAAAAGAAACAATACGACTGATACGGAAACGACTGCAAACTGCTCAAAATAGACAGAAAAGTTATGTAGATAATAGGAGAAGGGATCTTCGTTTTGATATAGGTGACTGGGTATATTTAAAAGTATCACCTATGAAGGGAGTTAAGCGATTTGGACTTGGGAAAAAATTAAGTCCCAGATATGTTGGACCATTTGCCATCGTCAAGCGAATTGGAGAGGTTGCTTACAAGGTGAAACTACCAGATGCTTTGATCGGAGTACATGATGTATTTCACATCTCCATGATTCGTAAATGCCTTCGGAGGCCAAGTGATCAAGTTGAAATTCCTATGGCTGAGTTGCGTAACGATTTAACATATCAAGAATATCCTGTTTGCATTCTGGATACTAAAGATGGAAAAACAAGAAACCGAAACATTCGATTTTTAAAGGTACAATGGAGTCATCACACTCAAGATGAGGCCACATGGGAGAAGGAAGATGATTTGCAAAAGAACTATCCTCAGTTTTTCCATCACCAAGGTACAACAATTTCGAGGACGAAATTCCTCAAGGAGGGGAGCCTGTAGTAGTAGTTAGTAGTAGTAGTAATAGCTGTAGCAGTAGGGAACCGTTCATACAGTCTTGAATTGTTTTGGGAGGAGGACAGATAAATATCACCGAGGTTAATGGATAGGATCGAACCCTTTCAGTGTAAGGAAGAGGGAGGGTGAATCCTATCCCTATCATCATGGCTTGGACAGGTGTCTGCTTCACACTGAAGGAAGCTGCACTATTTAAGCCGTATGTGAGCCTACAACTCTTGTCCATCAGTAGTACTTCTCCCTGCTCTGGCTGTGGCGAGAGTTCTGTGAGACACTTGAGAGTGTAGAGCTAATAGAAGCCTTTCAGGTAATACATGGAACCTTGTCCTTTGGTTTTATTGAGTGCATGGCTAGAATAAACATATAATGTCTAGCTATAAGTAGAGGGATTAGTGTAGAAAATATACCTGTTAGTGAAAAGACTAATGCTCTGGCTAGCAGCAGCTACATGCATGCATGCAAGCATCTACTAGTACTAGTTGGTTCCCTCCCTCTAGTATAGTCACATCAACTAGCTATACTCTAGTAGGCTGTTAGTAGCTATTATGCATGCAAATTTATACATTGATTAATATGAAAGATTTGCATATTTGACTAGGTGTGAGGCACCGGTAAAACAGCAGGAAACCAGGCAAGACTGCGCCCATCAACTAATTTACTTAATCACCTCTAATTGAATTTGTTTACCTGCATTATATTAAGATGGTCGTACTAACAATCTAACAATAAACATTATTAACACTCGAATAATGGATTGACGATTTCATCAGTGAGAATCATAACGTGATTATGATACTTAGCCTGAGACGGCCGATACCTGAAATAACGATATCGGGTTGGCTGATATCAGTGTGAGATGAGGAATACCTCACACAAGTAGGGAATCCGACGGCGTGATTCTCAGATGAGGGTATCACTAATTGGGGGAAAAACGGATTGAAGGAACGAGATTATAACGATTATTTTAATACCTCTGCAGTGTATTTTTAATTCATTTACTATGTTTAATGTCCTTTATTATTTATTGGCTATTAATATCTATGGGTAATAGTATTTTTCTTCTGTCTTTATAAACATATATATATATATATATATATATATAGACACACACACACTAATCTTGCTGAGTATGTATAACATACTCATATATCATTACTATTTGATGTGCGCAGAAACTAGTCAAGATGAGATGTCAGAGGGGAATGATGACATGCAGACCTAGTGGGGAGTGTGGTCTACTTAGTCTGTAGAGACATCCAGAGGTCATACTTGCATGCTAAGCATAGGGTTTTGTCCTAGTGACAATAAGTTGGTCAGTGAACCAACCGATGTAATATGTAGTGTAGCTGGTAAAAAAAAAGTAATAATAATAAACGGAACCACTGTTGTAGGTGTCCAAGCTCCAGTTGTGATGGTTAGACATTGCATCTTGCCTTGTATCCTTGTAGACATATATAAATATTAGTATATATGCGTATAAGGATACGGCAGACTGTCAGAAAAAAAATGTATATATATATATATATATATATATATATATATATATATATATATATATATTTGGGTCGTGACAAAAAACGACTAGATGCGCTACAATAAACTGAAAAAAGGGAAGAGAACAACACATGTTTATAGATGATGTCGACAAGAGAGGGGAACATGATAATGATGTGTAAATGGGAGGGGAAGGGGACTGAATGCCATCTCAAGCATTGGGGCTGCATCGTGTTTGCACTCAAGCATCCTCACGGCTGCACTGGTTGAGTACCAGTTGGCGATTTTTGCACTCGCTTGTCCAAACTCGCGTGTCGCTCTCTACACTTGAGATGTGAGCCAAGGCTATGTGTTCAACCAAACATGCCTGTAACGTGCAAGTCAGAGGTGAAGGAGAAGTAGAGGTATTACTATAGTAATTATCCCGTGCTAACGCTACGGTGGCATTTAATAACGTAAATCAAACAACCAAAAAAATACAAATATGTTTTGTGATAAGACTACAATGCACAGTATAGTTTCAAAATCATGCAAGAAAATGAGAGCGCTGAGCTGTATAAACATTTATCAACCTTTTGTATATACATTATAAATGGGTCCAAAATAGATGTGTCCGACAATATATAATAAATTCCCTACAAATAATTACTTATCACCATCTTTGACCAGTAGTGAAACACATACTGTTTGCTATAGATCAATAATAACAAGGCAAAATATTATATAAACACCATCATACTTCGAGCATCATCAATTCATTCGGGCAGACATAGTCAGTGCAAGGCTAGTTTACTCAAGACATGTTGATCTCTAAAAATGAGTTTGCACAGCCTCAGAAATATAGGAGAAAACATATTCACAAATCTTAAAGTACAAAGAATTTAAATGGAATTTAATGGTTTTATGAAAATAATCTGACATATACAACGGTGTGAGGATGGCATCCAAGCAAGTGATGTCTAAATGATACAAACAGGTTGGTGCAGTGGTGCAAAAGCTGCTGCAGCTTAAAACTTGAAGGACTTGATGTATCACATTTTGGCTGTAGAAACTCTCTGGGTTGTCATCGTCTACTGAGATTGAAGAGTAGAATCACAACATTGTAGTATTACGCTTCGAAGGAAGTGAAAAAAATGTTTGCTCAAAGTTTTTCCATATCAATGCATACCCAGTATACTTACTTACCAACAAAGATTGCTTATTCTTTGAGTAATGAATAAATCATAAGGGCAAAATATATAAAAGGTACAGAAAAATGTTCGTTAGAAGTTTCATGAAAAACAATTATTGATACGTTCATATTTCACACCATAATTTTATAATTTTATATAGGCTCCTAAAACACAATTCAGATATCAAATTAATAAAACAGAGAGAACTTGCAAAAAACAAGTAGAGTTTTCATCAAAGAAAATAATGAGTTCAATGATTAGTAATAGAGGAGAAAACCATGCTGAAAATGTGAATGTAAGTTGTGCTCACGACCAACCTTGAGCAGGCAGAGCTGTTACAGACCCATGGAAGATGCGCTTCAACAGGGAAAAGAGAGCTATGTGTTTAACGTTCAATTAACTGAATCCCAATTTTAGTGATTAAAATCCATCGGATAAGCAAGACAACAGGAAAAGGCTACAGAAAACAAGAAAATTTCTGAACCACGCACCTCTTGTCAACAACATCAGTTTTGTTCCCAAGCAGAACAATGATTTCTTCTTGATCACCTTTTTCCCTCTAATGGACCAAAGCTGTAAATTGCCCTTGTTCTGCACATGTGAAAAACACTTAGCAATTCATGCACATGCAAATCTATACGAATGTGAGTATCAAACAGAACATGTTAGCAGGGTATTTATTATAGAAACCAAATACAGAAACTATGAACTCATTCTGAGGTGATAACTTGTGTTTCTCTATAAGTCTTGAAACACATTTCTGAATATAATTGAAGATGACAATGGTTTATGAGTAAATATACTCTATCCAAGTGAATTAAATTAATATCCATTTAAATTAAACTAATCTTTTTTTCTACAACCAGAGGAGCAGCACAATCTGAAGTTACATTTGTTGAATCCTCTCAGAAATCCAGGCATCAAACAAAAGTACTATGCAGGCTGGCAGACAGGAGATAACAAAGCTGTATGACAACTTTACAAACTCATTATGCTACCCCTCACAAAAAACTTTACAGTTCACTACCAGATTTTTAAGATGTAACTTCAGATTGCAGGACACTAACAAAACCATATTTGTCTTGCAAGAATTTTAAGGATGACAAACTGGTAAGATTTATGAACAATTTTGCATTATTGTCAATGATACTTTTAAGGGCGATGCTTAGTAGCTACATTACCAATTGTAAAGTTAAATTCAGATCAAATATTATTAGGATAACTTCATATAAGGTTTATCTGAAACGATGTAAAACAATATGATTTGTTCAGCTTAATAGGCTAACTGTTTTCCCTCGTGGTTTTAATATGAAGAGCGATAGTTGAATAGTAATGGCCATTTGAAAATATAGGAGATATACTGAATAAAATCATAAACATGTTTGGCAGTAACACGTGTATAATTTGCTGATATGTTTAAAAATAAATTAATCAGAGACATGAGATCTAACAAGAAGCTATAGTCTATAAACTGTAAAACCAGGTTATGTCGGGAAAGTGAACATTAGGGGTTATTTTACCTAGAAAGAACGTATATAAAGGTGCTGCACTAAGAACACGCAGGATGGCTGTAGCCTGCAAGAAGATGGGATCAAGCAAATAAATTGGACATAAATGTTTTAAATTCAAAAGATTGAGATTAACAGAGAGATATGGGATCTTGCCTTCGCCAGCTACGCGATTCCCTCCTTGCCCGCATCCGCCGCACACACCATACCGTCATGGTCCACGGGTGTACCACCTCATTACAGCCCCGCCCTTGGATATCGAGGTCACTCCATTCGCGGTCATCCTCCCAGGTGCACTGTACATTGTCTATATTATACAATAATAAATAAAAATGTACAGATGATTAAGTAGTGGTTGCACAGTAAACTATAATAATAGCCACATGTTTGAGCATCAGATTAATTATAGCCATATGTTTACAACGCACTTGGATGCCTTCTCAAATTCTGAGATAAAACTACCAGGTAATAAATTATTCTAAATCCAAATAGAGTATAAATTATTCTGAATCATCTTAAGTAATGTTGACTGAATTTAAAACCTGTTACAAATGAGATCCTTCAAGGTTAAAGAACAGGAACTACACATATACTCACAAATAGAGTTTGGTTCTTCAGTAATTTATCTCCAAGATTTCAGTCTCCCTGTATTTCACAATATTGTAGCAGCACAAACACTCTGTAATAATGCTGTGAAAAGAAACCCTTTTAGTATTTAGTATATAGAGCATAAACTATGTATAGTGTGAAATTGGATCTTTGCTTTTATTTACCCCATCTTTTATATATGCTGCCCCTTTCCTTACTGAAGCCTCAAACTTCAAACTTCAAACTTCGAGTGATTTAACTCATCACTGACACTTGATGCAAAGGATACAAAACAATGCTATAAAAATCAAATGATATAATTCATAATTTAGACGGAAATTTGTGAAGTAACTGCAACCGATGTACTCAAAAGGACTCAAAACTAACATAGGAAGGAAATACCTGATGAAATTTCCTCATTCATAGGTAGAATGAATGTGGCTTGCCGTACTTCTCCAGCACTAAATCAATGCCGGACCTGGGTGGCCCAGATCATTGTTAAGGGGATGTCGGACGAGGTGGCGACGAGTCCCCCCAACGAAGAGACCTTCGTAGATCGGCGGCGGCAGGGGTATGGATGAGCTTCGGCATGTGTGGAGGCGATGAAGTTGGCGCTGGCCTGGCTGTCTTCAGCTCGGTAGTCGGCGAGACGGCGATGGTGTTCCAGCGGCGCCGATCGTCGGCGGCGTTGATTTGGAGGGGGGGGGAGGAGGAGGAGCGTCGGCAGGGAGGGGCACCGGCGGCGTCGCGTGAGAAGGAGAGGATTAGGGCGTGGTGGAGAGAGGCGCGACGCGGGCGGCGGAGCCGGTCGGTGGTGGCCGCGGAGGAGATCGTCGCTGGCTCGATGGTCTTCGGCTTCGACGATTAGAGTTAGGGGCGAGGCAGCATCACGGGTGCCGCGGCGGGGAGTGGGGCGGCGCTTGCGGGATGGAGGAGGAGGTGGCAGTGGCGAGGGGAGGGGGATCGATTTGGGCGGCACGAGAGTCTGGGAGGAGGAGAGCGCGTGAGAGCAGCGAGCGGCGTGATTTCTGCGAGACAACATTGGATTGGGTGATGTACTGATGTGCGTGCGGGCGGGCTGGGGAAACGTGGGACGATCTGAGGCGTTGGATTGAATGATTCTGGATCGTCGGATTTGATGAATGAGTAATGTAGGGGTAAGAGTGAGTTGGTGAATTATAGGGTAGAAGATTCACATTGCAAAACTGCATTGTTTTAGCCTGTATGCTACACTTGAGAACAGTATTTTGGTGATGGGGTGATATTTGGCGAAAGTCTTGTGGATTTGTTTTTTTCACAAGATGGCATAATCCCAAATTTGTCGAGAAAGACGGGAAGAGATTGGTTTGCTTGATTTGTGCTGGCCGTGTGGTAGACAAACAAGCGAAGTCCTCCGGAATATCCAGGATAAACAAGGGAAGAGAAGAGCCCCACTTTTTATTTTCCGGCTCAAATATCCGAATCTCACCATTCAAGATTCAACCAACCGACCAATGCCCCTCGCGTTTCGTTTCTCCCGGATTCTCAATCCGCGCCTCAACCCGTCCACGAATCTTGGCCTCGCGCTCGCCTCCTCTTTCTCCTCCTCGTCCCGCCCAGAGCAGCCGGAGCTGCCCGGGGCCCGCGGTGGCGGCGGTGGGTTCCCGGCGACCATCAGGGAAGGAAGGGCGGAGATCTTCGCCGACGACTCCAACTCGGTGTTCTACAACAAGGCCCAGGTCCCGCCTCTTCGCACATTTTCCCCTTTGTTTGTGGCTGTGTGGGTTTGGTGTTGTTAGGGCTGGAGTGGGCGGAGTGGGCACACTTGTTTGTTTCAATGCTTTCAGAGACTGGAGCTGTTGTGTGACACAATACGCATTTCGCAGTAATAATATTGCCAAGATGAAGACTTTGACTTGAACTTCGTCTTTGGTCTAGGCACAAATCTATCAAAGAAGATGGGTACTGCAGCTTTATTTTGCATATATTATCTGCCCTATTAGACCCTTGGATGCTGTAATTGTCTTCGCACGTTTCCTCTGTCTAGTCAATAAATCAGATAATAGTTGGTATGAATGGTTTGGATTTCTTTCGAAGACGGCTTTAAACAAATGTTTCCATTGTTGCACTTATGTGGTTTTCTGAACTAAAATTGTCAGGTTAACAACAGGGATCTTTCCATTGCTGTATTGAGATCGTTTATTTCGAGAAGACGTGAAGAGCATGATATCCAATTAAGAAGAGGTATTTAGTTTGGGGAAAAAAAAATGCACTACTTATTGCTCTACTACCCATATTTCTCTAATTGCTTCACCAGTATATCCAACCATTACCATGATGAACCAGGCAGTCATGCTGAACTACCGCCGAAACATCACGCTGAAGAATTGGGCCACATAAGAGGATCATCTGAGGACAAGGCATTGAGTGAAGAAATTAGCTATAGAGCACCAAAAGTTCTTGAGGTACATTACTGAATTCTTGCGCTGACACACATATGCGCGCTCGCACATGCCGACACGCACGCAAGCACCCTCATATACCTATACCTGTACTTGGGACAACAGTGTATAATGATGGTCAGACAAAACAATTATGAAAAGAATTATATTTGATCCTGGATTGTTTGTTTAAACATATTTTATGTAGTTTAGTTTAGTATTGAGATTCATCCATTGAATAGATAGGGTAAATAGAGCTTGCATAGTTGCATATACAATCTTGGTTCTTTCTCTTCAGTTTCTTTTTGTCATGGGTCTTGCAGGCTTTAGCTGCATCGGGATTAAGAGCCATTAGGTATGCCCTTGAAGTAGATGGGATTGGGGAAGTTATAGCTGTTGACAACAATGAAGGTACTCATATTATACTTCTATGACAATGTTGCGGATGCTTTTTCAGAATTTCTGATTACTAGTTTTCTAACCTTTGTATAGTTCAATGAACCCTTTGTTCTATATGATGGTTGTAAAAAAAATGTTTTATCAATTGCAGTAGCTATAGAGGCTGTAAAAAAAAATATCCACCACAATGGCAGTGTGGCTTCTTCAAAGGTGGTACCTCATCTTGCGGATGCACGTGTTTACATGCTCACCCACCCAAAAGAATTTGATGTGGTATGGCTTTATTACTTTTAAATGTATATGTTTTATCATCAAGAATAATTAAGTGGCAATTAATTAGGTATGGTATTATGTTGCTAGCTAGTCTGATTAGGTAGAACAATACTTAAACTTGTACCAATAAAGAAATATCTGTTTGCTGCCAGTCCTTTCACAGATTAGAAAATTAAATCCAGCAGATGTAGGCTGTGTTCGCTGGATCATGTTCCCAAGCGGAACAGTGTGCACGGAAAACGGAACGGTCTATTAGCACGTGATTAATTAAGTATTAGCTTTTTTTTTTCAAAAATGGATCAATTTGATTTTTTTAAGCAACTTTCGTATAGAAACTTTTTGCAAAAAACCGCATCGTTTAGCAGTTTGAAAAGCGTGCACGCGGAAAACGAGAGAGAGGGGTTGGGAAAAAGGGGTGCCGAACACAGCCATAGAACTCTTCTCTACATACAGGCATGATTCATAATTCGATGTTTCAATAAACCACATACAGGCATCTAAAGTTCTACAGATTTTGATTTTCTTCTTTTATGCTTCCAACCTGTGGATGCTAATATCTCTTGCTTATAAATCAAATACTTGAAGGCAACTACTTAAATTGTACTCCCTCCATGGATATTTATACAACTTTTTTTTTGTTTAAAAAAGTCAAAAGTTTTATGGACTTTGACCAACAATTAGTCAAATTACAAGTACATTTAGTGTGTACAAAATTTATCAGAGACTCATATTTTGAAATGTTTTCACAATTCACAAAATGTTGGTTCAATAGATCTGAACCATTTATTTCGTGAGCAATCGATTGCCAACGTTTAATCTTGAAGACATTTTCAAAATAACATATGCCACAGGTAATAACTACAATTTAGCCACTCACACAATTTATAAAAAACTGGTATTTAAGGTGAGTATTAACTCAACCAAAGAACATTAAAATTACCATACTACTCATATTTAAGTACATTGGGAATGGGTCAAACAAGAGAAAGAAGCAATAAATTGGCATGCATGTGTTAGAGAAAGAAACGGAGGGAGTAATGTGTTAGCGATCAATTATTGAAATGCAATTTTATGGATGTAATTTTGTCTTGAAGTGACTAATCTAGATGTTACTGTATGTATTAATGGTTGAAATTTTGAGGTTTACATGTTTATTATCCAAGGCAGTCAATTGCTTGTTCTAAGTTATTAAAAAAAAGTAATGTGACATTCTCCTCAATCCTCATCTTTTTCCATCTCATCTGCACATATACTTTGTACATATCCGATTCCAGGGGAAATATTATCCATATTATTCTGTACTAATGCTATATACTTCTTGAATCAGGTTGACCTTGACCCTTATGGATCTCCTGCAGCATTTCTGGATTCAGCAGTTCAGTGCGTTGCAGATGGTGGTATTTTGATGTGCTCAGCTACAGACATGGCTGTGCTTGCTGGTGGCAATGCAGAAGTTTGCTTTTCCAAGTTAGTTTCAAGCATTAAAATCAATTGCTGAACATAGGACTACCAAATCCGAACTATGTTGATATTTTGTACCTCCAGGTATGGGTCTTATCCACTAAAGGGCAAACACTGCCATGAGATGGCCCTGAGGATTCTTCTTGCTTGTATTGAGGTAAGACTTGAGTTAGTTTTCTTATATTCCCTTAATGTCACTATAACTGGGATTTTTTTTTTGTTTTTTCTTGCAGTCGCATGCCATCCGCCACAAGCGCTATATAGTTCCTATAATATCAGTGCACATGGATTTCTACATTAGGGTCTTTGTGCAAATCTTCACGTTGTCCCCTGCTTATACCTTTCGTTGACGCATTCCATCCTTAGGATTTATGTTATTTGTGCAATTCTGATTATTTTTTACAGCCCACAATACATTTACAAGTGTGCCCTCTCCATGCAGTTCAGCTAGCACAGTGAAAAGCTCACCTCTTAAATTGGCACATGTCTATCAATGTACCGGATGCAGTTCATTTCACCTACAAAACATTGGAAGGATTAATTCAAAGGTAGTCTTTTCTTATTTTTGTTTCATTGTCTTGCATGATGTGCTTATGGATATAATCCTTTTCTTTTTCTTCAGGACAAGAGGAATATCGCCCTACCAAATTTTTCCCCTCTTGTGCCTCAGGAATGTGCTGAATGTGGCCATAACTTTGTTATGGGGGGACCTATATGGAGTGATCCTATGCATGACAAAGAATGGGCTGCTTCCATCTTGTCAAGTATCCAAGCTATGAGTTGTGCATATTCAGCGTATGCAAAGATTTCAGCTATAATGACATCAGTATCAGAGGTGATGCCTATTTTTCTAGTTCATTTTGCCCTTGTTGGACATATACTATGTACACTAGAGAAAATCCACAGATATGTACTGCCTCCGTTTCAGGTTATAAGACTTCTCTAGCATTGTCCATATTCATATAGATGTTAATGAATCTAGGTACACATATATGTCTAGATTCATTAACATATATATGAATGTGGACAATGCTAGAAAGTCTTATAATATGAAACGGAGGAAGTAAGTAGCAAGCAAGGGTTCTTTTTATTATGTGGCAGTGTAATGTGCAAGCACTTTTTTTGGTGATAAAACCCCTTGATACAGACATAGAGTTAGGGTAGATTCCAGTTGTATTCAATAAATTACAACATATCATTCTATGAAAAACATAAGGAATGTTGATTTTTTTTTTTTTGTATCTGCAATATTTTGTGCTTTTGTGGATTTTTCTCAAACTAAATACAACTGAACTACCAAAATGCAAAGCTGGCTCTTTCGTTTGACTTTGTATCTCTTATTTAACTAATTCAATGTATGGATTACATTTAATTATTTCCATCTTTACCTTTAGAAGACATTTTTTACTCTGCTGCTATTCCAAAGTGTAATTTGACACTTAGTGATATTCCCTGCTTCAATTCAATAAACTAGGAGGCTACATCTCGATTGGAAGTTATATGCAAAATTAAAAATCCTATGCAAGTTATGAAAATATAACTCAGAAAGAATACAAGCAAACGAAATAGTTGACTTTTTTTCTAGACAATGTACTTTTGACTAAACAGAAAAGCAAGCAAAGCAGAACATTTCATCCAATTTCACTTACTTGTGACACGTCAACGCCTGCACCAAACAATGCCAATTTCTGGCTACATAAACTACATAAAAAGATCGAAAACTTCTGGCTAGCATCATGTTTGCATTTTGTAGTATCACATTCCTCATGCTCCAATTGCATTACTGCTACCATTGTTTTGATCTAATGATATTACCCATTCTGGGTCTAATAGTTAGCAATGAAATCTGTAGAAAAGATGTAAAATTTCTCTGCAATGCATTCTGACAATTAGCCACCCCACATTCAGCACCTGTTGCTTGCATGGTAACACTTCCATACCTGATAGAAATGGTTAATCCACTCTGAGGTGAGTATGGAAAGAAAAGGGTGTGAATGCGTACTTTAAAATACAGCTGATTGATCTGGTCACACTTTCTGTCTGTGTGGAATGTTGTCCCACTTTGTTTCTTGACCACCATTGCAATTTGAATATGATAATCTTCAGCCGCATTTCCTCACTCATATTCCGTAGTTATATTTTGTATGATTTCTTTCACAACATGCCCTGCTGAAATAAAATGCTTCATCTCAGGAATAAAAAAAATATGCTTATTGCCTAATCAACTCTACTTCCACAACAGTTTTGACATATCCATTGAATCTGTAAATCATAAATGTCATTTTCTTGTGCAGGAATTGCCTAAAGCACCTTTATTTGTTAGTCTTCACAATTTGTGTGCAACACTGAAGTGCACCAATCCAACCATTGCTACGTTTCAATCTGCTATCAGAAATGCTGGTTATCAAATATCAGGCAGTCATGTGGATCCCTTGGCTCTTAAAACGGATGCCCCTATGTCTGTAATTTGGGACATCATGCGATGTTGGGTATAATGAAAAACTGTATTGGTTTGATGTTAGTAAGCCAGAGTTCATGGTGAACTGATTCATTGGTGGTTTCCTCTTGCAGGTCAAGATTCATGCTGTAAAGTATCGACCTGGAAATCATCCAGGTACCAGGATACTGTCCCAAGAGCCTAAATTACAGGTATATTTGGTTTCATGTATGCTTTTCCTTTGTCCTGGAGATCTGGCCTACTTCCCACCTGGCAGCTTGATTGCATTTTTATGCCAGTAACAGTTGGAAGCAAATTTGACCGTTGGAATTTAAATCTGTATAAGTAGCTTAAAGTGACATTTTTATGGGGTACTATGTCTCTCTGATGGAAACTGTTATGATCCCTTCTAAGTTAGAAACGGTTGCCATACTAGCCTGCTGGGATTTAATTTAGAATAGTAGAATAAAGTACTAACATGTTTTACCTAGTGCTAGCTATCCTGTTAGAAACTAGTAAATCCTTACTGATATTTCGTGCTTATTTGCTGTGATTAAAATATACTTTATAATTATTAATCCTAAAATTATCAGGTCAACTCCACAAGAAATTTAACTAATATTGTGTTCTTCAGATATTTTTGTGGACTACTATGCAAGATTTTCTTTCTTCTCAATGGCTATATTTTTTTAAAATATCATTCACATAGAATAATATAAAAAGGTATATCCAGAAATTCAAATTTTGTGTAAGACCACATTGGTTCAATTGCTACTCTTTTAAAACAATATTGTGAAGAGCTCATACATACAACCACAAAAGATCCTCTAGAGTGGGAGTAATTGTATAACGTACTGGACTCATTTTACTCCTACAAGATAGGATATTTCAAATGAAATACTATATTTCAAACACTAATCCAATGTTACTTTAGTTTATAGTTGAATTGATTGAATCTTTTCTCCGTATCTTATTGTGAGCTTTACGTATCCAAATTATACTACTACAGGCAAAATTTTCCCATGTACCTGGGGGTTTAGCAGTACAGAAGAGCCCAAGATTTGTACCTAATCCTGAAAAATATTGGGGTCCTAAGACAAAGGCTGGGAGACAACCAAAGAGATTACCAGTGGACAATTTATAAATATTTACTGACAGTATGGTTGCAAACTAGGAGATTGAGATCAGTTGCATTCTTTTGTTAGAAAACCGAGCATATACAAGCTCAAGTTCAAGCTCAGTTTCTGGAGGCATGTATGTCCTTTCGAAAATTTGGTGGTCATTACAGATTACTAACGGTCAGTTGCGTGGGTTGGTGTTAACTACAGGCATGTCCACTTTGCTACAATTTTCAACTGCACCAAACTCTGGCATTGCCAAATTTTGTGAAGATGGCAATCCAAACATATCCTAAATACTCTACCATACCTTACCATGCCAATATTTGGTGATTTTCTAGAAACTTCACATAATACCAAACAAGAATATTTGGCAAGGTAACAAATCAAACTACACCCATATACCTCTACCTTTCCAAATTTTAGCATCGTCAAACATTGCCAAATTTTGGTGTTGCCAAAAGTTGGCAAGATTTATTTTGGCATCAAAGTGAACAAGCCCTACATTTTCATTGGAGTGCTATTGGCATGGTTTGAAATTATTGTGTTGTCAAAGAATATAATAGTTGTTTCTAAGTGTGGACAACGAAAGTAAATATCTGTATTGTTTGATTCTTAGAACTCTGCCCTTGCAGTGTCCCTTGGGAGCCTATTTATAGAGCTAGGGTTTTGCTTACACAGTTTTACATTGCTTATATTGTTATCCTTTGATAATGACATTCAGGGCTTGTTCGGAATGGAGGGATTTCACATATTTTTTGTAGGATTGGTTATTCCTTTGGATTTGGCACTGTTTATGCATTCGGTTCAAAGGAATCATGCGATGAATTTTGTAGGAATACTGTAGCAACCCTGTGAAAACGTAGGAATTTGATAGCATTATGAACATCCACTCAAACCTCATTTCTTTTCATTAGCTACACGGGATGGATGCTAATCATGTTGGAGTGACTAGATGGGAAATAATATTTTATTGCTTAATTGGAGTTTAATCTATCAGATTACTGCTGATTGGAAAATTCCAATGGTTTATATATTCCTGTGTTCCGAACACTCCTACAATCAAATTCCTATGTTTTTCAATCATATGTTTTGCATATGCAATCCTATATCTTTCATGTGTTTTTTCTATTCCTATATATTTTATGTGTTTTTTCTATTCCTATAGTTTTCCTATTATGTGATCCGAACAAGCTCTTATGAGGGTATACATGCCTTTTTCTTACAGATAGTAATACTTGGGCCAGTGTGGGCCTTTAGATGGATCTACTAGGCTGTTTTAGGGCTTCATCATACATGGGGCCCTTGTCTTCAGTCCTGCTCTCTCCAATCTCCATGCCAGATAGCCTTTGCTAACTCGGCATGGTCCATACCTACGTACAATAATCTTTGTTGTGTATTGATCTTTGCTACGTGTGGTGGTACTATTACACAAACGATTTTCCTGGACAGGGACTCATTTAGATTGTAGGCAGACCATAACTGGTCGCGTCTGGAAAAATAGGCTTATTTTTGCGTGTGCTCCATTTAAGAGGACCGCACGGAAAAATCAATTTTACTGTGCGGTCCTCTTAAATGGACCGCACGCGAAAATGAGCCTATTTTCGCGTGCGGACCAGTTAAGAGAGCCGCACACAAAAATACCCACCCTCTCCTTCCCTCCAACCCACTTTAAACTTTCGCCTCTTCTCTCCTCCTCTCTATCTCTTTTTCTTCCCTCCTCTCTTCATTTTCCCCGTCCTCTCCTCTCCTCCCCAAGTCCCGATGGCGTAGGCGGTGACGGCGGTGGTGATGGCGCGCGGCGGCAGCGGCGGTGTGGCGACGGCAAGCGGGATCCGGCGGGTGGCAGCCAACCTCCGCACGGATCCGGTGGCGGTGGCCGTCCCCGCACTGATCCGGTGGTCGGCCGCCCTCTCTCCCGCGGGATCCCGCTCCCCTCCCCTCCCCTTCCTTCCCTCCCCAGATCCGGCGGAGGGGAGAGGCATCGTCGGTGGTGCGGTCGGAGGGGAGCGTAGAGGCCAGCGGGAGCGTGGATGCAGTGGCCGACCGCCCTCCTCCCGCGGGATCCGGCTCCCCTGCCCTCCCCTTCCTTCCCTCTCCAGATCCGGCGGAGGGGAGGGGTGTCGGCGACGGTGCGGCTAGAGGGGAGCGCGGATGCCGGTGGCATGCGGTGCGGAGGCTGCCGACAACGACAACGATGAGGACGATGACGAGGAGGATGACGATGACGAGGAGGAGGCGGCGGCGCCGCTGGATTCGTTCTTTTGAAAAAAAAAATTTTGGATTTTTATTTTCTCGTGCGGGCGCGAAAAATCCGATTTTCGTAGACCCTTGGGCGTGTGTGGGCTGCCCACCTGCACACGAAAATCAGATTCAACAAAAACCGTTCTCCTAGTAGTGTGGTCTTTGCGAAAATGATTCCCCTTAGACGCCCGACCTGCAATGAAAAATCCTTCCACGTGTTGGCGATGATTTAAAACTGAAAAGAATTGAGTGCCCTGGACGACAGGCTCTCTTTTTCTTTATACTATATACAGAAGCACTCTCTTTCTCTTTCTGCATGTTGCATGCATTGCGATGTGTACTCGCTTTACTCTCTTATAGGTTCAAAATTGTATTAGTAGCATCTAAACAAATGTTCTCCTAAACTATTTAACGGATCTACGATTCGATTATACCATTGATTTTGTTTTAATTAAATATTTAAAATAAAGTCTCACATGATTATAATTTAGAGGAAAAAAAATATATGCTTCAACCGTTAAAAAATTGCTGTTTCATATGTAATAAGCGAATGTTTCAACTGGTTTTAACTATGTTGCATCGTTTAAATTTTTCTTGTGTACTTTTTCTTTTTTTTCAATGTTGCACATTGTGTAATTTGAATGTTCAGCAAGTATATTCTAATGTTTCACTAGCTCATTTGTAAATGTTGCACATTGTTCTTCATATGTTGCAACAAGTATTACGTGATGTTTCAATTAAAAAATATAATAATATAAATCATGTGTGATGTAGTTATAAAGAATTTATTATAACGAATATAATAGTATAATTAGATAGATGATTAAAAAATTAATTTAGGAAAAAATAAGTTTAAAGTTTGTTAAAGAGGTTATTTAAGTAAAGGGAGAGAGAGACAGTGCTCCCCTAGCTGATGCCTAGGAGTAACAAGCATGCATGCTAGTGAGTTGATTGGACTTGGTAGTACATGCGGACAAATGCAACGATACTTGGTTGAGTGATCGAGGAGAGATGGTGACGCAGATTTATACTGGTTCAAGCCCTCGAATGAGGTAATACCCTACTACAGTTGGTGTAAATTGGATCTATGTCGTGGTGCGCAGATTAGCAATGAAGTGGCTGATGGCGCGTATGGATGATGGAGTCAGTAACCCGCTTAGGGTTTCCATCTGCGCCCTTTATATAGAGCTAGGACCACCGGTGCCTAGATGGTAAGACAACCCTTATAATCCGAGTGCTTGCCATCTATTTACAAAGGATAGGATTGATTTCCTTATCCGATATGTCTTCCTTATGTTACAAATGCGCAGCATGGGCCTAGGGCACTTGGCCCATCCCATGTCGTGCGGCCCAAAGGCCGAGCGCGGATTTTTCGTCAACAGAGTGATGAAGGAAGCCTTGAGGTAGTCGTCTTCTTTGAGGGCGATTTGATGATAGCCTGAGTAGGCGTCGAGAAAGGAGAGTAGCTCGCAGCCGGCTGTGGAGTCGACCACTTGGTCGATGCGAGGTAGACCGAATGGGTCTTTAGGATAGGCCTTCTTGAGATCTGTGTAATCAACGCACATACAGCATTGTTTAGTCTTTTTCCGGTTGATACACCTCTTTAATAAAGCCAGCGGCTAATAGTTTTGTTAATTCTTCCCTAATAACCTCCCTTCTATCCGGAGCAAACCGACGTAGCCTTTGCTTGATGGGTTTGGCGTCAGGACGCACGTGAAAAGAATGCTCGGCAACCTCCCTCGAGACACCAAGCATGTCCGAGGGTTTCCAGGTGAATATGGCCTTGTTGGCTCGGAGGAAGGTGACGAACTCGTCTTCCTATTTGGTGCTGAGGCCAACACCGATGGTAGCTGTCTTGGTAGGAGTGGCCGAGTCGAGCATCAGATGTGTCGATGGAGATCTTGGAAGTTTTGGAAGCAGACAACTCAATGTCGCCGGCTGATTTTGCCAATGCGTCGTTGGCGATAGCCTCTTGATGGCCTCGAGGGATTGGGCCATGTCGCAGCTTTCTTTGTCGCAGACGAAGAATTGCCTGATGTCTGCTCGGAGGGAGATTATGCTATTGGGGCTGGGCATCTTCATCATCGCGTAGGCGTAGTGAGGAACAACCATGAATTTGGCCATCGCTGGCCTGCCGAAGATAGCGTGGTAGGCCGTTTCGAAGTTGGCGACCTCGAAGACCACGCTCTCGGTGCGGAAATTATCTGGTTTGCAGAAAGTGACCTGAAGAGTGACCTGGCCAAGGGGAGTTGATGAAGTGCCAGGGATGACACCATGGAATGGTGACTTGCTTGGTTGGAGGAGGGATTGCGAGAGCCCCATGTCCTTGAAGGTCTTGGAGAATTGGATGTTGAGGGCGCTGCCTCTGTCGACAAGTACCCTTTTGAGTCGTACGCCTTCCATTATCGGGTCAAGGATGAGTGGTAGCGGCCTGGGTGAGGCACGTGGTCTGGGTGGTCTGATTTGTCGAACGTGAGGACGGTTTTTGACCACCGGAGATACTACGGCGTGTCGGCGATGGTGTTGATCTCTCGCTCCGTGAGTTTCTGCTTGCGCTTGGACTCATAGGCGTCTAGGCCTCCGTATATCTGATTGAGCTCGGCATGAGGATGTTGGAAGCTAGGAGACCTGGACTTGTCATCGTCTTGCGCTGGGTTGTGTGTCTCCTTTGGCAGGGTGGACTTGTCCGCGTGGAGTTGTTGTGCTTTGAATTGGGATCGTATAAACAGGGACCATCCATGAACTTGTTGATGTTGTCGGACTTGGGTGGCTTGAAGCGTCGCTGGCTGTTGCTGTGCTTGGCGACGTTGACCTCCTGTTTGCTCTTGCGTTTGGGGGGTTTGTTACGATTTGAGTCAGCGTTGTCTCGGCGGGATTGGTATGAGGACCGTTTCTTGATTTGCGCATATTCCACAAGCTCGGAGTTGGCGTCCTTGTTGGCGCGGTCGAACATTTGTTGGACGCTGATGGCGCTGCTCGCGCTGAGTGAAGTTTTGCGGGGCCACCACTTGATGAAGTCTTCGTTCTTGCAGCCTTGGTGGAATGCCGCCATTACCTCGGTGTCCTTGACATAAGGGATTGTGTTCCGCCGTTCTTTGAAGCGGTGGATGTAGTCGGTGAAGCGCTCGCCATCACCTTGTGTGATCGGATAGAGGTCGCAGTGGGTGCTGGGATGAGGGAAGGTGCCTTGAAAGTTGGCAATGAATCGAGCCTTCAGCTCGGCCCAGCTGTTGATGGTATACTCGGGGAGGCCAGTCAACCAAGCCCTAGTGGATGGTGTTAACATGCTTTGGGGTCGATCTTGCCATCGTACTTGTCAATACCCATGGGTTTGACGTTGGTGGGCCATTGTACCCAGCGGAGTGGTTCGGTGAATGTCGGGATGCCCTTGACCGTGTCGTCACGGCGATGTCGTGGATCGGGGGAGAGGTCGATGTAGTCGTGCATGGGACGGTCGTCGATGTGACCGTCCGGCATGCGCTCGACATGTCGTCGTCCTGCTTGTTCATCGATATTGTGGATGCAGAGTTGTTCCGTGTCTCGTTGTCGGCGCCACTCGTTCAGAACGTTACGGAGGTTGGCATTGAGTCGTCGGTTGGAGTCGATCTTCTCGCGCAGGTCGCTGTGGGTGTTCCGGTATGAGCTTCTTGCTTGCGGGGTCTAGTGGCGATCGTGCTGCTGACGAGAGGGACCTTGGAGGACGATGTGCCAGCCGCGGATATGGTGGGGGCCATCTCCATGTGTTGTACGGCGGTGGCTTCCACCATAACCTTGATTTGGCCGATAGTGGAGTTGACAACCATGTACTCATTGAAGTTGATGTTGTCTGGCGATGCCTTGGTTGCCACGATGTTGTAATTAGGGGTCATGAAGACGTCACCCATCTTTGCTTGGAAGCTGGCGTACCGAGTCGCTCGTCCATGCTGGCGCAATTCTTCCATGTGCCAGTTGAGGTCTTCCTGTTGTTGCTTGATGTAGCGTTCCTCCTCTTCTCACTCCTGCTTCTCTGCCTCCATTTCCGGGCAAATCACGACGAAGACGTCTCGTGAAGGGTGAGGAGACATCGGCGTGCTCCGAAACTTTCCGACTCAGAGTCGGAGAGGTGCATGAATTTGTCGAGGAACCCGACCAAGCGAGGCCCTAGTTCGTGGGCTAGCTGTGGATGTGGTGCGCCTTCCCTGCCGCCATCGACGGAGATCTTAGCGCGATGGTTTTGGCGGCGATGGTGGCGAAGTTGCTGATAACAAAGGTTAGCTGGGGTACCGTGGTCGGCGGCGAGGTGCTGGGTGAAGCAGGCTTGAGGAAGCCGGCTTTGTTTGCGGTGAAGTCGAAGGAGCCGCAGTGGAATGCCACACCTGCGGGGAAGCGGAGTGCCTGGGTGCAACCCATCATGCTGGGGCTCGCCTGGACTAGTTCGCTAACGTCGTTGGTGACAAACATGGAGGAGCCGAAGATGATGAGAGTGGTGGAGGGGAATGTGGTGGTCGTCATGAAGGTGACTCCGTGAGCTGCCATCTCCTCCTGCCAACTGTTGATTTCTAAGATCGGCAATATAATTTATGGGGTGCACAAAATCGAGGAGAGATGGTGACACAAATTTATACTAGTTCAGACCCTCGGCTGAGGTAATACCCTACTCCAGTTGGTGTAGATTGGATCTATGTCATGGTGCGCAGCTCAACAATGGAGTGGCTGATGACACGTATGGATGATAGAGTCAGCAACCCCTTAGGGTTTCCATCAGTGCCCTTTATATAGAACTAGGACCGCGGTGGCTAGATGGTAAGACATCCCTTATAATCCGGATGCTTACCATCTATTTACAAAGGATAGGATTGATTTCCTTATCCGGTATGTCTTTCTTATATTACAAATACGCTGCATGGGCCTAGGCACTCGGCCCATCCCATGTCATGCAGCCCAAAGGCCTCTCCTCAGGTAACTTCCCCACTCAAGTCGTTAAATGTTGTTGTTGTGAATGATGGAGAAGAGGAGGTTGATGATGAGGTTATGGATGATTACTTGTTCAAGTCCATAACCAAGGAATCATTGCCACACCTGTGTGAGTTGTTTGAGAAAATTGAACAACAATATGCAACTCTTGAGAGGCAAGAGTTCTTGCTCATTCGTGAGAATGAGCAAACTAATGAACTCAAGGGTGAACTTGATAAACAGAGAGAAATGAGTTTTTGGTACGGCTTTACAAGAAAACCAAAGAATCTACTCTAGTCAGACCGATCTAAATCGGATTCGAGGGTAACTTTTAATTCCACTAAAAGTTTATGTTTTTGGGTACTACAACCATTCACCCCCACTCGCTTAGGCTGGCTCGGTTCTTGCTGTGCAATCCTACAAGTGGTATCAGAACCTTGTTTTCTTCTTCGGATCTTTATCGATCTTGTTTTAGCCATGGCTAAGAAGTTTACAACTAAGCCCCATATTTTCGATGGATTGGATTTTCCCTATTGGTGCACAAAGATGAAAGCTTTTATGTGTGCAAAAGATTATAATATTTGGCTAAAGGTTATTAATCCATACGAAATTCCTTCTCAGATCAATACTGCTGGTTTAAAAGCTGAATTTGAATAGAATTACAAAGCTCGCAACTATTTGCTTAATGCTATTTCTCGTTCAGATTTTGCTCATGTTTCTCATCTTGGAACTGCGCATTAGAGGATAAACTTTTGGATTAAATGGCACGCTTTTCAAACTGCTAAATGGTGCATTTTGTGCGAAAACTTTATATATGAAAGTTGTTCTAAAATATTAGATTAATCCATTTTTCAAATTTGTAATAATTAAAACTCAATTAAACACACGTTATTACGACCTCGTTTTGTGTGAAACACTTAATCTTCATCTTCATGTTCAGGAGATTCAAACACCACTTAGATTTGGAATACCTTAAACAATTTTCATCAGGGTAGTCTGATATCATGGAACTACATAGAGGTTGATATTTGAGATGAAATCTGGAGAGGCTTATTGATGACTATCTTGTGCTTTAACAAAGTTTTAAGCAATGTTATGTTTGTTGATTCATCTTTTGATATCAATTATTCTCAATGTGAGGTTTCTTGACACTTCTTGAACGGTCGTGATATTTATCAGATATTTTAGAGCAACTTCTATATAAATTTTCGCACGAAACACACCATTTAGCAGTTTGAAATGTGTGCCACAAATATCCAAAATTTCATCCAACTTTTGTTGGAGAAACAAATGGGACCTTAGTTAGTGGTGCTAGCAACATCTGGGTATGATCTGGAATCCTGGACTCAATTTCTTCCAAATGATTGTGTTAGCTCGTCTACATTTTCGTCAGAAGGGTTTTCTGGAAATCTTCTTTATTGTTGCTTGGCAGATTTGGAAGCAAAGAAATGGGTTGATATCCCAGAATATGCATCCATCCTTTGAGGCTTGCAGACTTTTGTTTAAGAAAGATATTCTTCTGCATATGTACAGAATGAAAGAACCCTTAAGAAAAGGTATTTACATCTCTTTGTAAATATCTTTTCTTAAATGAAAATATACCGCGAGGCAAATTTATCTAAAAAAAAGATAATGAGGTAGTTCCCCCATAAGAATTTCTCGAATAGACGTTTTCTGCTTTTACCTCTAAGAATAAGAGATGTGTGACGATGAATAAAAAACAAGAGTTTACCATTGAATCTCTTAATTTTGAAATTGCTAGATTATGATCTCTTATCCCTAATGATGATGATTGCAATAATTGTGAGGTTTTAATGACCAAGATTTCAAAAATAAGATATGCTAATTCTTCACACGATTTGAGATTGAAATCTTCTCTTGCTCTTGGAGTTGCCACGCGCACACACACTTTGGATGAATTGTTGTTAACAAAAAGTTGTTGAAAAAAATATCAAACTGTGTTTTATGCTAGTTAGATGTTTTGTAACAGGTCTTCGGGGTCACATGGGTTGATGTGACGGGGGAGATTATTGGGCCTGATGTGTGATGGGGGAGATTGTTGGGTTTAGTCCCACATCGGTAATTGATGATGGGGGAGCACGACTTAAAAGGTGGGGGCGGTCCTCACCCATCAGACTAGTCTTTTGGGTTGTGTAGGGCTAGGACCTAAAGTTGTGGCTCCGATTAGGCCTGTGGTGGAGCAGGTCCAATGTGACCTAGGTGGCCCACGGTTGGTGGGCCAGGCTGCGCACTGTAACAAATATGATTTGTGCTAAAAGGTTAAAATAAAAACATGGTGTTTTGAATTTCTGAACATGCTCACTAAACAAGTGAAACGTGCCTTAGGTCATGTTGAGTACATGGAGAACGTTGTAGAATCTGAAGAAGTGTTCTCTTACTCTAGATGTCTTAAGCAAAAAGGTATTAAGGTTAATTATGAAAATTGTGATAATTTGAGTAGGGAAATGTTAACAGTGAAATTTTGCAAGATATAATCGGATTTGGAGATAGATGTCTTAAGCAAAAAGGTGTTAAGGTTAATTATGAAAATTGTGATAATTTGAGTAGGGAAATGTTAACAGTGAAATTTGGCAAGATATAATCAGATTTGGAGATAGATATCGAAGCGGATTTGAAGGAGATTGAATCTTGCCAAAAACAGACTGCACATTGGCTGGGCAGCGTATCGGCTGGAAATAGAGTCGGGAACTAATTCGGCCGATATGGAAAGTGGCCAATACAGCTTGACTTGGGCTTAGTTTGGGCCTCGATTGAACTAACCGACATTGCCGTATAGAGATACAACTTATTTAAGGCAATAGTATCTATTAATTAGGATATTAAAGTCGGTTTGAATTACACATATGGTAAGAGTCTGCCATGTGGACTTGTTTGATGTTTTTATCTTTAGGAAAGTTTGAGCAGTGTCCATAATGGACAAGTTTTGTACTTTGGGTATAAATATAAATCCAAGATCATTGTAAAACAGGACGACAATCCAATTAATACAACTTTCGGCGCATCGCCACCTTTTCTTTTAAGTTTTCGACGAGTTCTTGCTTCAAGTCAGGGTCAGGGCCGGCCCTGGGGTAGGGCGGACAGTGCGACCGCCCTGGGCCCCTAGGCGTCAGGTGGCCCAACCGGCTATACACTGCTATACGTGCATATATAGTGCGTTTGGTTGCTTTGCGCAGGAGTATTAAGTTAATCTCACCTTTAAAACCAGACCATTAATTTACAGTGTTTATCATGTTGCCCATTCTTGTGTATGCTAAAATAGCACCCTAAACAGAATGATTAGACTGAACTCATGGTAATTAGTACCTTTGTATTTTTTTTTCCTATTTAATTCACTCCTCTTGTGATCT